ACCACGAAACCTAAGAAACCATGAAACCATTGACACCACGAAACCTATGAAACCATGAAACCATTGACACCACGAAAACTATGAAACCATGAAACTATTGACACCACGAAACCTATGAAACCATGAAACCATGGACACCACGAAACCTATGAAACTTTGAAACTATTGACACCACGAAACCATTGACACCACGAAACTTATGAAACCATGAAACCATTGACACCACGAAACCTATGAAACCACGAAACCATAGACACCACGAAACCTATGAAACCATGAAACCATTGACACCACGAAACCTATGAAACCATGAAACCATTGACACCACGAAACCTAAGAAACCATGAAACCATTGACACCACGAAACCTATGAAACCATAAAACCATTGACACCACGAAAGCTATGAAACCACGAAACTATTGACACCACGAAACCTATGAAACCATGAAACCATGGACACCACGAAATCTATGAAACCATGAAAGTATTGACACCACGAAACCTATGAAACCATGAAACCATTGACACCACGAAACCTATGAAAGCATGAAACCATTGACACCACGAAACCTATGAAACCATGAAACCATTGACACCACGAAACCTATGAAACCATGAAACCATGGACACCACGAAACCTATGAAACCATGAAACCATAGTCACCACGAAACCTATGAAACCATGAAACCATGGACACCACGAAACCTATGAAACCATGAAACCATTGACACCACGAAACCTATGAAACCATGAAACCATGGACACCACGAAACCTATGAAACCATGAAACCATAGACACCACGAAACCTAACAAACCATGAAACCATTGACACCACGAAACCTAAGAAACCATGAAACTATTGACACCACGAAACCTATGAAACCATGAAACCATGAAACTATTGACACCACGAAACCTATGAAACCATGAAACCATTGACACCATGAGACCTTTGAAACCATGACTCCATGATACTATCATGATATGACATAGACATTGGCATATACTAATTAGCATAAATTCGTGCACCGTAACACCAAGTTGTAACCCCTGTCGCTCAAAATTCAGCTGTGAAATTGTTTTGGAATTTCAAAAGTAAATTACTATCAGGTAGAAGCTAGGAGCCACCAGTTCGAATTTTCGGGACAAGTAAATTCAATGCTTGCTAATTCTGAAAAAAAAAAAAAAAAGTCGATTGCCTATCGTGCTATTTTTTAAAAGGTACTTTTTAGTTTTAGAAGCACTATAAAATGCTCCAAACCGGTTCCTCGACATTTTTAAAGTATCCCTCAGCAGTTTTGCTTCAAACTCCTGCTACATACATTTTGATGTATTGCAATGCATCCTCAACGGCTTTTCCTGCTGTACGTTGCTTCCAATTCAGGAAAAAAGGTATTGGGATTGTAAGCTACCTTGTATCGAAGCTCAGATAGAACTGTCCAGCACCTTTGTTTATGACCAGAAAATGAGCACGAGCGGCAGCTCTGCGAGGAATTCCCACCTCAGCCAGGGGGGACGAATGACAATGATGCCCATGTCTGCGAACCGATCTGTATAAACATGTATTGCAGAGCAAAAAGTAATGATCAAGAAAAAACTACCTATTCATTGAAGGAAGGAGAGACAAAAATTTCAGAGTTGTAAAATTGTTCACGAGTAGTATATTTGTGATAATTTCATTTTGCACTGTGATGTAATTTGGTTCACAGGCATGGGCATCATTGTCGTTGGTCCCCGCTGGGTGAGGCGCGAATTCTTCGTAGAACTGCCCTCGTGCTCATTTTGAAGCCATAAACAAAGGTGTTGGACAGTTCTATCTGAGCTCTGATACGAGGTAGCGTCCAATCTCAGTACCTTTTTTCTGAGTTGGAAGCAACGAACAGCAGTAAAAGTCGTTGAAAATGCATTGCAATACATCAAAACTGCCAAGGATATTTTGAAATGTCGAGGAACAAGTCATTCTACAGAACAAGGTTTGGAGCAATTTGTAGTGCTTCTAAAACTAAAAAGTACCTTTTAAAGAATAGCACGATAGGCAATCGGCTTTCGTTTTAAGAATTAGCACACATTGAATTTACTAGTCCCGAAAATTCAAACTCATGGTGTCTCCTCCTACCTGATAGTTAAGAATTGCATCGTAAAAAGGTTACCTATTTGTCGTCTTTGTATTAAAAGGACTTGACATGTGTGTTAGGCTGCGTGCAAACGGACGCAACATTGTTGACCAACAATTCCCAACATTGTTGGATGTTACATGTTGCGTCCGTTTGCACACCCTGTTGCATGTTGTTGGACGTTGTTGCGTGTTGTTGCGCAAAGTTTGAAACCGGTCGAACTTTTCGCCCCGTGCAAACGGACAGAACATTGTTGGCTTTCAACTCCCAACATTGTTGGGAGTTGTTGCGCCCGTTTGCACGTAGCCTTACGTTATTTTTTATGGCATTAACTATGCCCCTTAATAACTTTCGTTTGAAGTTTTCATATATATTTTTTTCAAGTCATGTGAAATATGACTGCCGCAGCTGGAACGAATGTCAAAAGTAAATAAATATCGATCTTGTAAAAATTTAAAATCACATTTCTGCCAATGAAGTTTGTTTACTTCAAAATGTTTTCGGGGGTTTTAAGAAACAGACGCTTGGTGTTGTACATGTGAGAGCCGGCTTGAAATGATTCAGTTTTTAACTGTCCCCCTCTCACAACATGATTGTTACATGTGGTGAAGAATTTGAACTTGTTTAAGCTGCTTCACAACATTTTCATGGTCACCATTTTTTGTTTTCAGTGGTGAAAATGTTGAGGCTGCTCGACAAAATAAATTCTCGACCTAGGTGCTCTGCTGCACGTATTTAACCACCAGGTTCCGGTTCCTCGAAGGATGGATAAGTTTAACCCAGGATTAGACTAAATTTGACGCAAGGTTTTCTTGTGTACGAGCATGCAACTGGAGCTTACAACATACTGATGAGCCTTTACTCCGAGTTAGATACAGCAATACTTTGGAAGGTAAAATACAAAAACGTGCCACTGAAAATTTTAATCCTGGATTAACACTAATCGGCCTTTCAGGAGCAGACCCAGGGAGACAAGCGTAGACACGCAGGTGATACTGGGATCGAGAATGGATACACCATGCGCATGCGCAGTGTAACAAATTGCCTTTAGGTACGATAAATATATTATGTAAACAACAAAGAAATACCAGGTGCGCTTTCGCGCGAAAACATGAAATCCTCACATATGAAAATGACATGTTATCCCCCCACTTGAAAAGATGTTAGTCAAGTTGTCAGTTCTCCAGTCGTTCTCTCGTAGTTAGTTTTGCTAACTACGACTAACAATACACGACTGTTTGACTCTGACAATAGACGGATCGAAACGCTCCAATTACTGATTACGACTTCACAGCCAATAACATCACGGCTTAACTGACAGACGACCAATAACATCGCGACGTAATTGACCAATCAGATCAATAACCAGAGTATAATACCATCAACTGACTGTCAACAACAACAGTCCTATTCAGGACTACATTCACCCGGACGATCAAACTCAACCTACTTTTGAAATGACTCCAGGGTTCAAACCTTTCACAGCGTTACAAATTATGTCAGCATAAATTGTGACATTCCCTGGTCTCACGGATTAAGAATTGAAAAAGAAGAAATATCAAAGGTTGCCCTGATATGATATATGAGATATGATATGATATGTGTTAGGATATGATATAATATAAGCTCACTACTTTGCTTTATGGAAAGAGAGCGTGGACTATCGCGATCGTCTATTTCTTGCAACCTGATACATTTCGTCCATCTGAGGAAAATCCCTTTTCCAATCTTTCGTTTTCTGTTCCTGTTTCGCTTCCTCTTCCGGTTGTGGATGACTGGTTTTAGGACGCTCAAGCTTCAAGGTAATAAAATGGATTTTTTACAAACTACGATTTGTGAAGTGTCAGGAAACGTATCGTGGACAGGTAAAGATGACTTAGAACCTGGCTCAGTGGAACTTCATCATTTGTATCCGTGGAAGAACGAATTCAAGTTTCTCGTCAGCAAAGCAGGATATATTGAAGTAAGTAGTAAGCTTACAACCTCATTTATTTACTATGCTGACCATCACGTTTAAATTCTTTTATGTAAGCTTAAGTTATTTATCGCTTAATAAATTATGAACAATCATTGTCAAAAGTAAATTGGGCTTGGAGTTGATAACCGCTTAGATAAACTTCGGTAAATGTCTTATTTTGAAAATACATTTCATAGCGGCTTACGTGACGACAAAAAAGCCCAGAGACGATTTTACATAAAGTCTTGAAAAAACTCTTGAAAAAGTTTTACGCTGAGATCGGTAAACTTGCCTAAAGTTATCATGATTAATTATATTAATAATAACAACGAACTGTAATGATCGTCATGTTAGGAGCGCAAAAAAGGGGTTTTCATAAATTCGTTTTAATCGCCTTCAGCGATTACCTACACACAGTGTTTCTACGCAGGACATCTTTGTTTAATCGGTTTCGGAGGTTTACATTGATGACAAGCAGTGGCAATAGAGAATAGCATTTTTAATTCTACCGGAAAATAAATGTCCTCTAGTCTGTACACAATCTAATAACTACCCTGATCGAGTTGTAACAAGTTTTTTAATACCTTCGGTATCAAACAAAATTTGCAAGCACAAACAGATGCTGACAAAATGAATCAGTCAATCAATACACTCAGTTTAGGGACGGACCATTAGAAAACTTCATGGTGGAGAGGGGGGGGCAAAGTACAAAAAAACCGTGCACTGAGGGAAAATTAAATGAAACAAAACTCATGCACGTTAAGTTAACCTAAGAAATATTCAAGCGCTGGTCTGAAAATAATCATACGGTAAATCCGCTATTAAACTCCCCCCCCGGGCAAACTTATTTCAAATACATTTTTGGGGGGCTTAATCGAGACGGGGGGGTTTACATGAGATGGTATCAGTCCACCGGAAGAACTAGAATGCAAAGTGGAAAACACAAGTACAAGAAGTTAGAGGTTATGCAGCCGAGGATCACTGAGTACAAATCAGAACTTCTAACGCGTGAACAAATAATCCCGGATCCTCCAAATGAAGTTTTACAGAACAATGACAAGGGCGAAGGGAGAGGAGACGAGCTTAAAAGAATGGCGGTATTATTAATCTCCTTTCCCTGAAAAGGAGGCTTTTTAGAGAGGAGGCGTATTTGGGAAGGGGGGGGGGTTTGATAGAAGATTTACGGTAGTAGGTAAATATTTACAAAAAAAAGTGAATATAAGTCCCACTTGTGCCGTCATCATTTGCAGGGGACAAGACCATTGAAGAACCTTTCAAGCAAGGAGGGAACCCTGGGAACGAGGTTCTTTTTCAAGCATATCCCCATGAGTACAGTTTAATCAAAAAGGCCGAGGAAAAACTCGATAAAATAATGTTCTTTGATTAGAAAGTTAGAAAGAAAATCTTGTTCCACTAACCACACCTGTACCATCATAATCTGCCCGTCCTCGGGGTTCTCGAAGACCTTTCCCGTCATTTCATCTATTTCTTTAAACATTTAAAGTCAATATAAAATAATGCGCGAAAATTAAATATTAATCCCATAAAATCAGCTCAGTCTCTCATGATAAAATATATCTAAGAGAGTTAAAAACGTCAAAACCTCGTCGTTTTGAGCCCCTTTTAGCTCTCTGAAAATGTAGTTAAAGTCATTTTTTACAGAAGCCTAGTGATGGGCTCCTGTTTTCGCACATTTTCATATCCTCGTATTGTATATCATTTTAATTGTAAAAGGCTTCTTTAAAATATGAGTTTACATCGGTACGAACCTGTGTAACTTATCCTTGTTTTGTGCCTTAATTTTATTTTCCTAGGCTCTATCTCGATTGTCTCTGTTTTCTTTGTGGGCGTAACCTGGTGTAGGCCCTGTCACAGGTTTCCTTTCTGCCTCGTACAAAAACGTCTCTCTCTCGACGAAAATTTGTGCGCAAAGAAAGGCGGGAAAGAAAAAACGGACCTCCGTTTTTCTCCTTCCCGTAGTCCCTTGCGCTTTGTCATCAGTCACTCTCGTGTGGCGCTCGCCTCTGTGCAAGGGTTCTTTAGACTATGGATCAGCAACTCTTAGTAAAATTAGGATTATCTGAATCTCATAGTCTACTGGCTATGGGTTCCGGTGGAAAAAATAAAACTGGTCTTAATCTGTTTCAGTTTGACATTATGGCTCAGAGTTCAATGAATGTTACCAATACGTCAGTTACTATAAGCAGATTACAATACATGCATCCCTTCGCTGGAAACCTACCCAGTGTAACCATCCATCTTAAAGATGCTAATCCAGATGATATTCAGTTCTTTATTGATGAGCTGCCTGTTTCTGTCAAAGGTAAGACTGGATGATAAAACTTAGCAAATTTCATCTTTTATTTGTTTCTGCAAACATTAGCAAATGGAAATATAGAATTAAATATACATGTAAGGTTAAAAATTAAGTAACTAATAAATTTACAAAGAATGTAAAAGCACAAAATTAGAATACTTAAATTAAATCACATAGTAAATAGGAAGGAGAGGCGAGGGGTATGTCTAGGTAAACTAGTTGTGCCCCTTAAACTTACGTATACTGACAAACAACTTGTAGTCTTCAATAGAAAAGTAAACTTCGCAAATTCTGAAGAGAAGGGAATAGACCGCAAATAATTGCTGATGCGTGTAAAGTTATCTACGGAGTAAAAGCAGTAACTTTTCATCAGTAGGATGCCTAAAATGTGTGCAATTCCACAATTGGTTTCGGCTCCATTAAATCCTTTACCAACTGTAGAACATTTCTCTGAGGAGCTATCCATAATGTTAGCACAGTATACTGACTCTACATATTAGAAACGGATCCAAATTTTGGTTCAAACTAGAGACGAATATATTGAATATAGTATCGTTATGTCAATTCGGTGTTTAAAGGTATCACTGGCAGAAATTGTTTTCCACTTATTCATCAGACCCAAAATTTCAATCTGGATCACAGGCACCCCAATCTCGGTATCTGAGCTCTCAGTGAACTAATACATCTAGAATATAATCGCGGGTAATACTTTCTCTTGGTAACACAGCAAATGCAGGGTTCATCTAAGAAGCGGAAAAATTACAATCCTTGACCAGGGCTCAAAGACTATGAATCAAAATACAAGTGCATATTCACAGCGATTTTTTACAATATTTTTAGTGTTTTCTTATACGTGACGTTCTCACGCACTGACGGTTAGCGTAAGATTGCTTAAATTTAACTATTTCTTCTTGGCTGACTTGATTGACACTTTTTGCGCTTAACTCTCTGCAGCACAATTGAAAATGCAAGATCTACGAGAGGAAAATCTAAAAAGGCAATTACGGAAACAGGAGGGAAACTGGCCAGAGCAGATGAGGAAGATGAGGAAACGCGAAGAGAATTCTCAAAGGCAGTTAAGGGAAATGCAACAACGCGAGGAAAACTCTCAAAGGCAGTTAATGGAAATGCAGAAAAGTGTGGAATATTCACAAAGGCAATTAACAGAAATGCAGCTACGAGAAGAAAATTTAATAAAGCAGTTAGAGGAGATGCAACATCGCGCAGAAAACTCTCAAAGGCAGTTATGGGAAATGCAGGAACGAGACCAAAATTCTCAAAGGCAGTTAAGAGAGATACAGCAACGAGAAGAAAATTCACAAAGGCAGTTAAGAGAAATGCAGGAACGAGAAGAAAATTCACAAAGGCAGTTGAGAGAGATACAGCAACGCGAAGAAAATTCACAAAGGCAGTTGAGAGAGATGCAACGACGAGAAGAAAATTCACAAAGGCAGTTGAGAGACTGTGACTGGATCATTGCTCGCCACGAAATTCAGATGACAGACAAATGCCTTGGGAGGGGAGGTTGGGGAAGTGTTTATGAAGGAGTATATTGTGGGTGCGCTGTAGCCGTGTACTACAGTTTATCGGGGCCACAAATTACGAAGAAAGCCCTCTGTTTGTAACCGAGCTCATGGAAAACAATTTGAGGACTCTGCTAGAGCAGCGGCAACTATCTGAAAGAGAAATACGAGCCATTTCTCTGGACGTAGCTCGTGGACTTAACTATCTGCATCATAAGAAAACAGTACCCATCATTCACCGGGATATCAGCAGTGCTAATGTGTTGTTGCTATGGCGACAGGTGACCAATGAAGAGGCAAAGTGTCAGATTATGGCACTGCTAATTTCATGCAACAGAGCATGACAGTGGCTCCTGGAGCTATGATTTACAGCGCACCTGAAGCGCTTACACCACAGCAAACAGTCAAGGTTAGCTCTCATTGAAAAAATAAAGGATTCAAGGCTGTCTAAGTAACACCTTGTAAAGACCAGGGCCGGGTTGTTAAACGCTGAGTTAAGCGGGTAACCAAGGTTAGCGCGAAATTTGAATTCAGATCATGATGAAAGCGTAAAAAGTAAATTCAGTTTAACACTTTCTGTCAACAAGTTGATGATTGGATTCATTAAAAATAACAGAGAAAATTATCCGAGAATGCTTTCGAACCAAAGAACAAGAAACCTGGGTTAAATTTAACCCTGGGTTAAGCGCTAATCGTCCTTCGAACAACTGGGCCCAGGTGGGGTCGTAATCACCCAAAGGTCGGTCATCTTTATTGGCCTTGTTATAATGTAAACTGCTTTATACCCCATGCATGTAAAGGACCACTAATGATAGCTATTCAGCTATTCTTCCTTCAAAAAATTATTGATGTCTGAAACTTTTGTTGAGTGCATAAAGTAGCAACTGGCCAGTACTGAAAATAAAACTGGCATGCTAATACATACAACGTGCTAGAACACTCGTCAAAGACTTTTAAGGACGATTGATTTCTGGCGAAATAGCCGTAGGCAGTTACAGTTTTATACAATGGAGAAAAATCACTTCTGTTAGCTCTTTAGGTACTTCTTTTATATATTACAGTCAATTTGGACCGAAATGACTGATTTCCTTTTAATCTCCATTTCGCTGACACCGCTTTAGCAGAAATCTCTCATTAGTCATTTTCGTCGACAAAACGAATAGCAATATCGCTCTCCGAGTCTTCCGCCATTTTTTCTGCGTCAATTCGTGAAGGACGCGTGGCTCTGACGGTGGGTCATCCACGCGGAACACATTCGCGCTATGTGATTGGCTGTTGTCTAATCCCCCTTGGGATCTGTGTGTCTTAAAAATAACTCGAGACGAATTACCTATGGAATAGGGTGTGTATGGAGGATGCCTTCTCTGTCCCCTTTATCCTCTCTTGCATCAAGCGGTTATTTTTATGTGGTTGAGTAAGATTTTTGCGGCCAAGCTTGCTTTGTTTTTGTTTGTTTGTTTTTCCATGGAAAACGTAACCCTCTGTCAAAACGAGTAAACAAGCGCGGCTCGACACGGCGAACAAGCATCAAAACTTAATGATTAAGAATACCGACATGAACTTGACCCAGCAGCTTTTCTCGTCCGTGTAACCTGGCAAAAAATATTTATTCTGGCTTAATTTACGTAGTAGCAGAGAATTCAAACACCCATAGAACTGTATATTACATGTAATTTTCATATCATTTTCTTTTGACGCCAGATTGATGTTTACAGCTTTGATGTTCTTCTTCTATGTGAAATGTGCATCCGGGAACTTCCAGATCCTAGTAGGCGTGAAGTACAAGTCTCGCTTGTGACGAACACTGAGTTTAGGGGCCTGGTACGGAGATGCCTTCAGAAGACTCCGAGCATGAGACCAACCATGCAAGAGATTATCGACGAGGAGAAAAATCTCACTTACTTTCCATCTTAATTATACATTATACATCAAATAATTAAAGAGCATGTGAAATAGCTTGTTCCCCCGTTGTCTGTACGGTACAGTGACGGTAGAACCTCGATAACTCGAATTACTCAGATAACTCGCATTCCCCTCTAGCTAACTCGAACCAAGTCCCATTTCTCTTGGATTTCACCAAACTCTTCAGTCATGTTTACTCGGTTTACTCGAACTCATATAACTCAAACCGAACTAAATTTCCTTTCCCTACCAAAAATTTGAGTTAAAATCAGTGCGCCAATAACTCGAATTCTAGATCATGTAACTCCACTGGGATGCCATCCCATTAGCTCTTCTTGTTGTATAACAGGTAAAAACACTAAAACTAACACTACAGCAGTCTGATTTTACATGGTGCCACAAACAGATCACGTTTTATCACAAACTGCAAGTAATCATGTAACCCTTTCTAATGAAATAAGTTTGATATGCACTGTGCTATACCGACTGAAATGCTGAAAATCAGTACCTAGTTTATCAATTATCAAAATGGCAAATTGAATATTTAATCGACCCCCGATAAATCGAACTGCTAACTGGAACTGCTTTTCGTTTCCATTCACAGTTCGGGATAATGGGGTTCTATTGTACTTTTTTCAGAAATTTCTGTTGTTGAAATAAAAGATCGCTCAGAAATGTGTCTAGTGTGAGGAGCTAACAAATTAATGTGTGCTAGGAAGTTATGTCTCGTCTCGTGCTGTGCGCAAAACGCCGCGTTCGCCTCGCTTGGCTCATAAATCGCCTGTTGTGTTATGCAGGCTAACGAGGTCTTTGAACCCTAAACCCTGGCCCTTTGCTCTATAAAAAACTTCCTGCTCCATTTCACTACCTTGCTTAAGACAAGAAACCTTATTTTATGACCCTGGCTTGTTTAATTTCTACACAGAACTTAGTATTTTCCCCGGGAGTACTCCCTTTAAGCCTTATATAAGCTATATAGGTATGTGCCGCCCCATCGGGTAGGGTTTTTGCACCGCTTGGTCTGAAAACGGGTATACACTTTGCCCATTTTGGTCTGGAATTGGGTGTGGTTTTCGAGGGAACTAAATTGTCGTCTTTTTGCCTGAGAAGTGGTATTTTGAGCGATAATGAAGTATTTTGAGCTCGCTGTTTACTGTTCCTCTAAATTATTTACCGATATACCGCTACAGATGAAGCAAACGGTAAATACAGTACATTATTTACTCTTATAGGGAATTGCAATAAAGTCTGTCTGTATGTAGTATATTGTGGCTACCAGCAATTTCTTCACTTACCTGGCTAAGGGACTATACTTGGTCTTTTTTTCAGGGACACACGTCCATTTTTGGAAAATAGGGAACTTAAGCCGTAGCTAAATATATAGCCGTAGCTAAATATATATATTAAATGTAACGTTCATACATTCAAATGACCTAAGAGAATGCTTGCACATTCGTGTCTTAGTACAAAAGCCTTGTTTGTAGAGAAGAACTACACCCCAACCAGTCCCCGCCGGTCCGGAGTGTGAACAAAACGGTAAACACTCAGGCAGAGCTCTCCAATAGTAACGTCATCTCCCTTCAGATGCAACCATGTTTCCGTGATACCCAACAAATCAACTGCATGATCAACAACCAAATCTTTGATGACCAAAGTTTTATTGCAGACCGATCGAGCATTTAACAGACACGAAGTAAAGTTCTTGAAGAACCGCGAATTGGGAACTTGGCTAACACGGTTAAGAGAGGGAATATTATTTAAGGTGGCTCGATACCATTTTTCAGGGCCAATACCTCCCAAGTTTGAGCATAAACTACGTGGCCATAAACAAAGTTTTGGAAAAATTGCCACCCCAGTTGTATTATGCACCTATTAATGTAAACCCCGTGGGGCGGGGGGGCAAGCAAGGGGTGGGGATTTGACAAATTTTAAAACTTTTTGATCAAATTCCCCAGGGTGAGAAACGAAAGGTCAATCAAAAGTGTCAAAAAGCCCCCACCCCAGGGGAAAAATCTAAACAAACAATACTATAATACTATATAAAATAAATGAAAGAACATTTCAAAAGTACGTTCTTACTACTTTTATTTAAGGTTAACGTAAGCTCCGTTAAATTACTCGCTGTAATTAAGTATTTTCTCTCTCCACTAGCATCTCTTATTTTGAACAACATAATCACTCCAGGAAGATTGACCGTGCTATTATATTAATGAAAGGTAAAATGCTTTATAACATCGGCTCAACATGTCGGAACAGGTCGGATCAGTGACCTGTAAAAAATCCTCTGACTTTCATGGTAGAATTCGATTTCAATCGAGGTTTACAATCAGATGCGAACTTGAAGATAAAAACTTTCTCAAAATAGACATTATCTGTTTAGATGACAGTGTACATGTAAAGTATCGGATTATGGCGATTAAAACAAATGAAAACTTCATAACTTTCTCCAACAGCGTGACTTTCAGAAAGCCTCGAGGGACGGACTTGGTTACCGCTTCTGAATTGATACCAGGCTTCTATCGGTCAAAGTCAAATGTCCCGACCCCGGGGTCGCTTCGCATGATCAAAAGCCCGACATGGGGATAGCCTCAGGTATCAAATCCCCGCCCCTTGCCCGCACTCCCCCACGGGATTTACATTGATAGGTGCACTAGATAAAGACAAAAAAAAAAACAAAGTTTTGGAAAAATTGCCACTACAGTTGTATTAGATAAAGATGAAAATTTGTTATGATCAGGGTTGCAACGGCATTGGAGTTGTCATAGCAACGAAATGACACTATTACCTATTTTACTTGCAGCAGTATATCTCGGCACTGGGAACTGTTCTTCCAAAATCGTTCACGGCAGCTTTTTTCTCCAATAGCGGCCTCGATGTTCGTGAAGTTTAAGCGTAATCTGTAAGAGCGTTATCGAGATATTTTGGGATGAAGTTTTTGTGATTAGAAACACAGTAAAAAATGGACAATATTGTTGTTTGGCCGTTATCTGTAGAAAATGAAGCGCTTTTTACATGCAATTTCGCCTCATAGTAGTTTCAATCTTTTTAAAAACGTGTGTGAAAGATCATGGAGATAGCTCCAGCCGATTGCTATAAAGAAGGGTTTTATTAGCATGTATCGAAGCGCTCTTGTTAGCAGCTTTGTAAACATTTTGGTCTTCTTTAACAAATTAGCGAATACTTTGTAAACCGCTCGATGG